CGTCCTTTAACTTAAAAAAAAATCTTCCATAGATAATATTGTGATGTTGGTTACCACTTTCTATCAAGAAAAACACGGACAATATTTTAATTTGATAACTACCGGTTTAACTTACGTGTAATTAGAAAAAAAACTCGATTAGTTTTAGGATTATTTTGTGATCCTTAATAATAAGCGGCTGTGACTCGAGCGCGAGCCTGTCGGACAATATTGATTAAGTCTAAGAATAGATAAATTAGCATGCCTTTACGACTTATTGCAAATAGATGAATTATATTTCCACCATGTATCGCCTTATTAATAGAATAAAAATAGAACGAACATTGTTTCGATATCGATCTGATGCCTTTGTATTCTAGCAGTAGTCAGCCGGCTCGCAGTTCGCAGCGGTGACTCGACTACCAGTACAGTGGAGGTCCTTGGATGTCGTGTTCGCTTATCGATCGAGATATTTTTGCAAATATATCTACAATAATATACATACATATTCCTTTGTCGAAATATTCCCAGAACCATAACACGAATTATTATCTAAGAAAGGAGTTTCAGTCATTTAATTAAGATTTTCCACCCTTAAAAACCAAAGAGTTTATATATAGAAAAAACTTTAAAAAATAAATGGTTCGAGCCGTTGTCAAGTCATGCGTTCGCTAATATCATACATAATATAATGCTACATGTATCATACTCGTTTATAGTAGTAATTTATTATTTTCTTTCTATCAATACGAAGTTTGTGATAACCATTTTATCCAAATCACATTTTTGTTGTAAACTTAATTTTTATCTGACAAAAGCAACAGTTGTGTTTCTTGCCAGTTCTTCTCAGCTGATTCATTCCAAACTGGGAGACAGCTTCATATAAAAATTATTTATTCAAATATTCAAAAATGCTAATAATTTAGGCTACTTGAATAAAAAACGTGTTTATTTATTTATGTATATCTGAAAGAATCTTTACTATTTTTCTAATTGCCTATTAAAGTACTTACTTTAACCGTGATTTCAAAAGGGTAGCTGCAAAGTTTCTTGCGAGTTTTTGGAGATAGGATATATTATTCGAGATAGATTTATTTTATTTATTAGAGCAACCAACATGGCATCCCAGTTTTTATCTCAAGCAAATAGTTCAGGTATTTGTTGTGTTGGCTTAATTGCTGGTTACCATGGCGTGCATTCATTTATTTTTTTTATTTATTCAGAAGAAAATGAATATTGCATATATGGCAATAATCATAGCGCAGTAGGAGGAAATCGTAGTTAGATAGTACAGAAGTATTTATACAAAAAAATATTTCTATTTTGTTCTAAGTAACTATTTATGTATATATATTTATACGAAAATATACATCCGAAGACTACCTAGAACAGATTTCTTTTAGCGATAATATTGCACATTATTTTTCTGTATTGTGCTAAAACGTTTGGCAGTAGCTTTTCTATTGACCAAATCTGTTCATCCGTTAAAGCGCGAACGAGTGAAATACATTCCTCGCAAACTTTCATATCATGATTTTAAAGATAACATGTAATTATTACAAAACTACTATTTTAGGTAAATTTTGTTCCTATACGTTGAAATGTGGCGTCATCGCGTGCTACTTGATAGTACGCTTTTTGTGTACGAAAAAGGTCAAACTTGAAATAAAAATATAGGTATGTAGTATAGATTCAATCCGCGAAGCAATTTAACTACATACGAGTACATAATCAGCCTCGGCATCGCCGTTGAATAAAATGTATTCATTATAGGTATGTATACATTATATTGTCGCAGTTTCTCAACTTGAGCCCCGGACCCCGGGCGGCGGGCGCCCTGTCCGCACTATATACTATAACGGGTAATAGTTACAGGTTGACAGAAAACGAGAGCTGTAATTAAACTCTAAAACCTTATTTGAAATTAAATGAAAAGTTGTTTTAAATCAATATACTTATCGCGTACAGCGAGGTTTCAGAGATGTTACCTCCCACGAACACTCACGTTATGGAATGAGCTCCCTGCCGAGGTTTTCCCAAGAGACTACAGCATGGGGTTCTTCAAAAGGAGGGTAAAGAGGTTTCTTCATGGTCAGCAACGCACGCGTAATACCTCAGGTATTGCAGGTGTTCATAGGCTACGGTAACCACTTGCCATCAGGTGAACCGTACGCTTGTTTGCCACCTCAGTGGTATAAAAACCTACATTCGTTACAAAATGCATAGAGTTGAATTTGATGCGACATGTTCCTTTTATTATGACATTTCATTCGGTGTTTGACAAATTGTGTGCTACATTTACTGACACTACGTGACGGATGGCAGTACGGGTTGGTGGACGAAGAGCCTTTCCTTTTGTCACGGCTCATTGATTTATGTAAATAATTAAGTACAATACTATAGAGTTATAAGAAAAAATAATTATAATTGTATATTTTAAGCGGATCACGCAACGATCTCAATTATAAGGAAAAAGCGATCTGTAGCTGAAATCACTAGTAACTATAATTATATTTTACAATTACTGGTATTTAACATAATAAGTCGGCTCTCAAGCAAAATAATTCTGACGATTTAGTACAAGTAACAAATAATGGCGTCATCCAAAGAGATAGCCTTCAATGTTTCTTTTTTATTAATACTACTGAGGTGGAAAACAAGCATACGACCCACCTGATAGTAAGTGGTTATCGTAGCCTATGAACACCTGCAATACCAAGAGTGTTTATTACGCGCGCATTGCCGACCCTGAAGAAACCTCGTTATCCCCCTTCTAAAGAATTCTATGCTGTAGTCTCTTGGGTATTATATCTCACTCTCATTCCATGCTATGAACCAACGACGGTGGTGGTGATGTTACAATTAGGCGGTGGCATTAGTATGTGTTTGTAAACGTACTCGTGTGTAGTATACGACTGTAGTAAACAGTTATTACGAACAGCTACTAAATCAATCCAACAAAAATCATACCAGCCGTTAACTGTCCACTGCTGAACGTAGCTCTCATATATGGGGGGGGGGGGGGGGTTTGACAGTAGTTGCCACGCTTGGCAGGCGGGTTGGCAAGTTAGGCTTTGATGATACGAGTATTTTAAGAGGGACGCTGCCGTCCATCCCTTAGTAGCTTCCTACGATACCCAAGAGAAAGGAAGAGCTAGGCCATTCTATGGCGGGACTATGCGGCACGCCGCCGCCGAGAGCACACTCGGCTCAACACATACTATAACATGCGGTATTTGTTTGTACGCGAGGTAATACAAAAACTACAGTGACGAACATATTTTTTGTTTCGCTCTAGGTACGTAACGTTGATTTTGTTCATATCCTATTGTGGATGTGGTGAACACTGTGCTATTTAGTGAAGTATATTGTTCAAACGTAACTGGCGAGCGTGTATGAAGAGATCGACGAACGTGGAGCAAGTGAAAGACATTTTGTTTGAATCAAATCATTTGGCGTTCTATTGTTTCTACCTATCCTAGTTGGAGATACGTGTAATAGATATGCATGCAATATCCTCATATCACATAATCATATTGCTGGATACTCAGGCCATTTAGACAATCAGACAACAAATATTTGTTTGACATTTTGTTTCTCTAAGACTGACACGAATCAATCTAATATAAATTGCTTCTTAAACTGACTCGTCTCGGACTCGAAACTGAGTCTTATTTCTAAATTCATATATTTATTTATTTACAAATTCTCGGAATTTAATCAAATTTATGCCTTGATTAGAATAACTACATATTTATAACTTTTTCTATCTATATTGCATCACGGACAAGATGTGAACATACAAAATTTTTTTTTTTTTTTTTTTTTTTTTTCAATAACCACACTCGCAGGGTATACTTGGACAGAGGACTCGATGTACACTCACTACAAAAGGCAGCGCAAGTAATATTCTTATTAAACATGGATTACTCTTTAACATTCTACTGCTTATCTAATATTCTTTATTCTTTATTGTACACAAAACATACTGGTAATTACAATTCATTATAAACATAATGTACAAAGGCGAGCTTATCTCTAATAAGAGATTTCTTCCAGCAAATACGTATAAATAACAATAATGAATCAGATGGACTTGTGTAATTAGATCAACAAACGAGACCAAAGAGAGATACAACTGTTCTGACTAATATTTTAAAGCATTACGAAAAGTCTTGTGTAGAAACATTTGAATAAAGTTTGCTGAGATGATTTCATTATATACACATTAAATCCGCGGACACGGGCGATACCAACATACATGCATATGATGCCGACAAATATTTTATTTTTTTTTTTTTTATAATAACAAGAAAAAAAAAATGAAAATGGGGCGTTTGTATTATTTCAACCGACTAGTAATAGTCTTTGACCGAACAGTAGTGGTTGGATAAAGCGTTGGCTTCAATGTTTTTTTTTTTTTTTTTTTTTTTTTTTTTGTGATGAAATATTTGTATTATCATTGTTTAATGTTATACTTAAAATAATATTGAATTAAAATAACATTATTGAATTTTATTCAATTTATAGTGGACATGTAATAATTCCTATAAGCTGTGTGTGAGCCCCGTCGCGGCCCCGGCCGCGCGGCCATTTCTCGAAAGCGAGGTTGAGAAACAAACGCTAAGGGTTGTTTTATCAGATCGAACGGGACCTTGGTTTAAAGGAAATACGCCTATTTTATTAGCTGCTCGGGTGACGAGTGGGGTGGCCAAAACTGTATTATGTATCTATATATAGATATAAAAAAATAAATATATAAAAAAATGTGAATAGGTGTAGTAATATTATAGAATATTATTACACCTATTCACATATTTTTTTTTTTTTTTTTTTTTTTTTTTTTTTTTTTTTTTTTTTGTTAAATGATTACATTATGTTAAATCTTTAAGAGTGCAAATACTCTATCCAAGTCTCTTGTTCAGGTTTGTTTAAACATTTTTTTTTTTTTTTTTTTTTTTTTTTTTTTTTTTTTTTTTTTAACATGTTCACAATCTATATAAAAAAAAAAAAATACTCACCAAATCAAAAAATCCTATATTGGAACCCGCGTCTTTTTTCTCCGCACCCATATCGTAAGCGTTCCCTTTATTATTAACGAATCGCTTACTTTGCCCTTTCATCACTTTGTTTGAAAAAGACACAAAAATTTAATAGCGCGACTTTAAAAAAAAAACTACGCGCCGCTGACACGTTCATATAAGCAGCAAGTCGGCGCGGTACTGGCGCTGCGGTGAGCACTGGTGACACCTGTACCGGTCCGCTGGTCACTGCCACCACGAGAAAACAGTACGCGCACCGCCGGTCGAATGTTTATGTGTAGTCTGGGAAACCCCTACAGTGCGTTATGCCCATTCATTTACACGATTACGCGTGTTTGCACAAAGAAATGCACCGCGGCTAGCGCTAGCTCACGTGCTCAATACAGTCGACACACTTTTCCTGCTTTAACTTTTATCCTTCGCCACCCTATCGACTTGAATGCCTTTGTTCACAACCTTTGTCTATAAATTCATAGTTTACCCACCGTAGCACCGTGACACACACTCCAACGAGGATAACTTGCAGTAAGGCTTTAATAATTTAACTAGCTTCTAGTAAACTACAACCTACCTATGTTGGGGAAAAGTATTGTTAGTAATAGAGGTAAAAAATCCCATTGTTAGCAATATACCTAACCAGGTCGACCTCCTCGTGGTTCCCCCCTGGAAACTATCATGGTTAATTCCTGATGAATTCGTTATGATGGTCTAACTGACCTGTTTGTATTCTCATCAATCACCCTTCACTGGTGCTCCGCCAGCGTATCCCGTTAGCGCAGGCCATACCTTACATTTTCACCCATCAAAAAAAAAAAAAAAAAAAAAAAAAAACTAACAGAGAGACGCGTAAGATTTGACTATTGTGTGTAGTGGGCGATGACAATACCTACGCTCCGGTGAAGAAATTCCAAAAATCGGGCAGCGGATACTGCTTGATCGCTTGATACCTGCTGCTGATTTTCACCACCGTACAACCCGCCACAAACTAAAGTTTCATCCCAATCATCTGGACGAGCGGCGGTCTTCCACCGTGCGTTTTTCAAGGCACTTTCTTCCACGCACAACCATTCTTTAGAATCAACTATATATATATCAACTGTATATTCCTTTTTAAAAGGCCGACAGCACACCTGCAATGCCGCTGGTGTTGTGGGTGATCATGGGCGGCGGTAGTCACTTACCATCAGGTGAGCCGCATACTCGTTTGCCCCCTGTGTTGTAAAAAAAAGCGGAAACGGAAATTGTAGGAGAAAAACTAAAAATTCCTCCCCCCCCCCCCCTCCCCCTCCCTGTGCATCGGAACTATAGCAACAATGACCACAGTGACCAGCCAGAGCGGTGCTACGCTCTCTCAGCCAAACTCTCAAATGCAACAACCGGACACCAAACGGCCGAGATATAGAAGCAGGAAGATGTTCCCGAAGGATTTCGGGAACGGTAACGGGGACGGGAGAGCTGATTGCTGGAGCGGCCCGGAGACGACGAGAACAGTACGTAGAGTCCAAACAGCAGCTCTCTACGACCTCCGGGATCCGAGATAGGCTATTTTTCAACATTGACCGCCATATTGGCGGTCCTCTTGGTTTTCTTGTCTCGGCGATAACTCCTGAACCGCTGGAGCTACGGCGGTGGGGTTTTGAATAAAATAGATAGGAGTAAAGCGCGGGCCTGATCCTGCTGGAAAATACACCCGGATAATCGAGAAAGAAAAAAAAAAATTGAACTGGATTTCCACGGGATTGGGTGCAAGACCCCGTTGCCTGAAAATGGATCTTTTCCCTGAGTCGATACGAGTGCTGGGGCCGGAGATATAGCAAATCCGAAAACCGCGGGATAAGTCGGAATTTGTTCGCTTAAGGTTGGGATTGGGATATCTCCAATCAGTGGTCGTAGAAGGTTGAGCGTAGGCTCAGTTTAAAGAGCGAAACGAGCTCTTTTAAGCTGACCGGACAGAGTGGCTCTACGTACCGTACTTGTGTCGACCCTTACTAACATATTATTTATTTTACTAACACCTAGGAACCTACCTGTGAACCTGATACCTGGGAACGAGCGAGAGGGGTGAATAATAATAATATTAAAATTAAAAAAAAAGAAAATATTATATATTATTAAAATAGAAAAAAAATATATATATACATATATATTAATTTACAAGAACGAAGAAGAGGCCATTACAACAAAAGAAGACACCACGCCGGCATACACAGACCACCAGTGTATGCCGGCTCAAGAACCCAGCGACCTGGAGGTAGTTGCCTCCGGAGATGCAGCCGGGGTAGAGGGGTTTACCCCGAGGCCCCTACCTCGCCCGCCTACACAACAAGGCGGGCAAGAAGACCTGTGATGATGATGTGAACGTTCATCGAGGAGACCGACGAAAGGTACCTCTTTTTCTGCACCCAAAGGGGCTGGTAGTAATAACCAATCGGTTAGGAGGAGCATAGGCGAGATCGAGGCCAAAATTGCGCCAAAACTGCAAACCAAAGGTAACAACAAAACGGAAGAGGCGCGAAATTAACTTACTATGACCAGGGGGACACGATGACGAAAAAATAAAAAATAATGGCCGCGCGAAAAAATTTTTAATAGATGGCGATACTAGTCGCGATTTACTATTAATGCTTCCGTAAGTTTTAGAAAACAAACAAAATAATTTATTAAATATGTATACTTTTATTTTAAAAATCTCCGAAAAACTTAAAAAATGAATAAAATAAATTTTTAAACTAAAACTCATTAGTTATATTATAATTCAAAAATTGTTTTATTTCTCCCACCGAGTTAATGCAGCTGCCGCGAAGGTGCCTGGTGGCGCTCACCAGGCTCTTCAATGGAATTCTCCGCACAGGCCATTTTCCAGAGTCCTGGAAACTGGGTAGAGTGATCGTCCTCCCCAAACCAGGCAAGGATCGCCGTTTGCCAGGAAGCTACCGCCCCATCACGCTACTGGCGCACATAGCCAAACTGTTTGAGAGGTTGCTGCTCCGACGGATGGCCGAGCATTTCACTCCTAGGAGCGAACAGTTCGGCTTTCGGTCGGGGCACTCGACCACTCTACAGCTGGCGCGCGTGCTGCACCACCTGACCGCCGAGCGCAACCACGGTCGAGTGGTGGTCGGTGTCTTCTTAGACATCGAAAAGGCATTCGACCGTGTTTGGCACGACGGCCTAGTATATAAATTATTACAATATACCAGCACGCCGCCCGCGTATGTGCGACTGGTGGCGTCGTTTCTCAGGGGCCGTAGCTTCTTCGTTTCGGTGGAGGACGCGCGCTCCGACACCCGCCCAGTGGCCGCCGGAGTTCCACAAGGTAGCTGCATTTCCCCGGCGCTCTACGCGCTGTACACGAATGACATCCCTGTCCTGGACAGTCAGCCCTTTACACTGGCCCTGGAACGGGATGTCATGCTCGCTCTGTTTGCCGACGACACGGGATTTTTCACGTCGTCGTACTGGAAGACGAGAGCCGCCGCTCAAATGCAGCGGCAACTGGACCTGCTGCCGGAGTGGTTGGACAGGTGGCGCATGGCCGTCAATGTTGACAAAACGGTCGCGCTACTTGTCCGCCGCAGTCGTACAGCACCGCCGCCGCCCTTAAGGCTCCTTAATAAGGAAATCGCGTGGGAGAGCACTGTGCGATACCTAGGGGTCGACATCGACCGGTCGTTGAGAATGGGGCCGCAGGTGACGCGTGCCATAGCGCAGGCTCGCGCGGCGCGCGCCTTTCTTCGACCGGTGCTAACTTCCAGGTTGCCGTTACGGACGCGGGTCTCTATCTATAAGACCTACGTCCGTTCACGGTTAACATATGCCGCACCCGCTTGGTATGCACTGTGCTCTCCGACGCTTAGGCGCCGGCTGCAGGCCCAGCAAAACATCGCTCTCCGCTTGTGCACGGGAGCGGGCAGATACGTCCGTAACGACGTTATCGCCCGCGGCTTAGGGGTCCCAACGGTGGAGGAGTTCGTTGTCGATATGGCGAGCAAAATGTTCGCCCGTGCCGACAGCGGACACCATCAACACTTGAGGGGCCTCGCGCCGCTGCATGCGCGTCCACCGGACGGCCGTCCCACGCCTGTGCACACCTCCTGTGCACAGGCGAATAGTGATCGTGATTGCCTCGTCTACCAGTACGACGACTTACCTACCCTTTTTCCCCATTTCCCTTCTTCTTTCTCATTCCCTCCTCTCGCCCGTTCCAAGTGTGTAATTATATCCCCCGCGTCCAAGCGGGGGGAGGGCCGACACACTTCTTGTGTCGACCCTTACTAACACAACTTATTTATTACTAACAACTATTATATATATCTGGGAACGGGCGAGAGGGGAGAATTACAATTATTAAAAAAAAAAAAAAAAAAAAAAAAAAAAAATTATATATTATAAAAATGAAAAAAAAACAATATAATAAATAAAAAAAAAATATATATATATATATATATATATATATAACAAGAAAGAAGAAGAGGCCACATCAAAGAAGACACCACGCCGGCATACACAGACCATCAGTGTATGCGTGTGTATGGAGACGTTTAAAATTATCAATGGCTATAAAAAAATCTATAGATCTATCCCAAAATTAAATAAAGTAGGAATTCCTCAAGGAAGCATTCTTGGACCATATATATTTTTTTTTTTTTTTTTTTTTTTTTTTTTTTTTTTTTTTTTTTTGACTTATATAAATGATTTGCCTAATATAATCACACATAAATGTATACTATATGCTGACGATACAACTATATTAATAAAATGTAAAAATAAAGATGACTTAGAAACACAAATTAATGACACATTACAAAATGTTATAAAATGGCTAACAGAAAATATAATAATTTAAAAGTTAATTTAAATAAAACCAAAATAATACATTTTGGCACACATCATTCAAAACCTGTAAAAATAAATATAAATTACCAAAATCAATCAGTGGAATTAGTGGATAGTACCAGATTCTTAGGCATAATTATAGATAGAAATTGTAACTGGAAGGCCCATATAGAGGCCTTGTGTAACAATCTCCATAGATTCATGCATGCGATACGAAAATTAAGATTGTCAGTATCAGAACAGGCTGCACTGAGTGCTTATCATGGATACGTATCCTCCATACTTTCATATGGATTACTAATATGGGGAAACTCTGCAGAAATTTCCAGAGCATTTGTTGTGCAAAAGAGGTGTGTTAAAGCTATATGTGGTGCAAAAATTAGAGAAAGTTGTCGCTCTCTTTTTTTTTTTTTTTTTTTTTTTTTTTAGAAATTAA